AGCGCGGCGCGTTAATTATCGGAATTTTGGGGGGAGAGTAATTCATTAATACGCTCTCTGACGATGTCGCTTGAGTCGATATCGTCGCCATGCTCGAGAGAAAGGGAAAAAAGATATGAGAGAAAGAGAGAGAGAGAGGCTTCATCCTCTGGTGAGAAATCATCGATTAGACGTTATAATTAATTTTCGCGCTTATTGCATCGCCTCTCTTGCAACCGCGAGATTTCGCAATCGCTCGTCAATGTTATCTCTCTCTCTCTCTCTCTCTCTCTCTCTCTCTCTCTCTCTGTCTCACAGCATATTGGTCGTGGTGGTTAGCAGTGGCGGCGGCGACGGCGGCGGTGATGGCGATGTGGTCAAAGAAAAAATCTCTCGGACGACATTGATGGCAGCGTTGCGGCTTCACGGAACGCGCGGCACTCGCTCACCGACGCTCTATCAAAATTACTTCGCGGCGTTCGACTTTTCGTCGCCATCAATCTTTCCCGGTTTGACTGCTAACGCGGTAATGCAGTTACGTGCCGTGCGCGTGTGGACGCGAGCGCGAGCGCGCGCATCCGCTCGACCCACGCTCGCCGGACCGAGCGGATATCGGGCCGTGCCGTCGAATTCGTCATAAATAATTGAATTAAAAGCGACGACGTCGTAAGTGGATTTGCGGATCACCCGACCTGGCAGAACCTTCGAGTGAATGCTGAATGCACGATATCGGCGCTCGCAGCGGCGTCGCAGATTTCGCGTGCCCAATGTTCCTGTTTTTTTCTCCGCCGCAAAAACGTCATCGCGAAGACGACGCAGGCGTTGCCTGCGAAATCTCATCGGTGACGATTTCTTCGTCGGTCGGGATGTTCGTCAGTGTGCAGGTAGAATTGATTGAAAAGAGTTTTTGATTATTTTGTAAATAACCGCGTAGGTTTCGAATTGTTAATTGAAGAACCGACGATTCTCTCCCCATTTTGGGGATCAAATCAATCACGTAAAGTTCCGGGGTATTAATTAGAGAAAATTGATGAACAAGTTCGTGTGATACGGTGCGACGGGGTCTTTAGATTCATCCAAAGAATCTCATCCGAGATGTCTAAATCAATTGACGATCTCGTAGCAACGACACACGCGCTACGTAATTCTGAACAATATTATGACTCGTGTCTTTGTTGCTTAGCATTACGCATTATCTGCCGTTGCCGAGCTATTGTCAATTGATTTAGATATTCCGCATAGGAATGATGGGTTTTGGTAGGAAATCTACGAAGAATTTTTTGAGCGAAAAATGTAATATTTGAAAAATATGATTCCGAACAGGGAATTCAAATGGATCCTATTTTTTCTACCGTACGTTTTTTTACCCAACGTTCTCTCTTTCTTTATTTCTATTTTACACTTACGTTGAATAAAAATTTTTGAATAAAATATCTTTGAAAGTTCTGAATATTTACACACACTTTACAAGTACAAATATTTAAAAAGTGCAAGTGCTCAAATTGTTTTAGATATTTTGCTCAACTTCTCCTCTCAAAATGAATTATAAATATCTTGCGCAAAATAATGTATATTATATTTTTATTTTAAATATAAAACTTTAACGTAACATTAAGAGAAGAAACCCGAAGTTCTTTCAATATTTTTCCCGGTCATTTACATTAATATTTTTCATTTTACATCGATATTTCTTTTTACTTTTTAATCAGTTGAATACAATTGTTGGTATAAAAATAGGATTTATTATCTCATGCCATAAAAATGTCGACGTTACCGATTAAATGAAAAAGATAAATCAAGCACTCGTATGGTATTTATGTTTTGATTTCAGACAGAAAACTTATGTTTGGAATAAGAATAAGGTTCACAAGTGGTATTGTAATTGAATAACAATGTTGGGACTTTCTTATTGGAATCTATGCTGCATTTAGAAAAATCCTCAGAAATTTCTATGCTGGCGAGTCTAAAGACCTCGTTGCACCGTATCACGCCCACTTGTTCGTCAATTTTCCTTAATAATTCGAAACTTTACCTACTTATTTGTAAAATGGTAAAGGGCTTTTACTCAGTTTAATGAGTACTTTCTGCGCATGAGCGGACGCGCGAGACGTGATAGACACTCTATATAAAGTGCCCATCAAAAGGTATTATGAACGCGTCTCACGTGATACATGCCGACTTTGTCTTTCTGAAGTTGTAATTTGAAGTATTATGTCATGGAGTTTCGAGCGTGTATCATCTTAATTGATATCATTAGCGTAGTTTGTTTGTATTATATTACGCAAACGATCAAATAACCTTCATTAGCGATTTAATTATTTTAACTCGTGGTTTATCAACTAACTTTCATTAAAATTGCGAATCCCACCATGTAATCACAAACACAAGGGAATCGCGTTATTTTCCGCGGCAAAGCGCATGAAATTTTGCGATGTTAACGCGATATCTTTGCTCGTATTACAATTTAGGAATTGTAATTAAACAAAATAACGGTTAAATTATATAAAATAATACCGAACGGATTAATTAGTCGCCCCAATAAACACTTCGGAAATTGGAAATTCAAATAAAGCTGGCGCGCACACGGATGTGTGACGTTATCGCGCTGTGAAACAGGAAAGGGGGGGACAACATAACACTCCTATGAGTACTGATGCGAGAAACGCAGGATAAAAGTGCGTCGGACGAAGGAAGTCCGAAGGAAGTTAAATCCTCCGAAGACTATCGATCTCTCCGAGTGCGCAGCATCGATCACACATCCGTCGTCGAAGTCGGTGACACCGCCAGTATCCGAAAACCGAAAAGTTCGGAAGCACTATTATTGCTCAACGTTGACCAACTTTCGGTCATCGAAATCTGATCGTATAAATTTTAGAATAACGGAAAAGAGACGGCGATATGGAGCCGATATCGCGTGTGAACCAAGTTGGCCATGTCCATGGGAAGTTGCCGAGTTTCCTCGCGGAATCGTGGACTGTTATAAGGATGTCATTTCAAATTTGAGTGGATTTATCGCGTCATTGAATTTTTGCAGGTATCAATCTTGTATGCTTTTAGAGAGAGAGAGAGAGAGAGAGAGAGAGAGAGAGAGAGAGAGAGAGAGAGAGAGAGAGAGAGAGAGAGAGAGAGCGATGAAGCATGCCATCGGTGCATTCTGTTGGCGAAAACGATGACGTCCAGCGTAAAAATATCTTTCTGTGGACTTTATATTTCTCTATTTTGTAAAATATTCACAGTTCATCCAAATAGAAACGATGTGGGGATAAAATCGGCATTCTAGAAAAATTGGAAAAGCGGTAGAAACGTATCTCTCTCTCTCTCTCTCTCTCTCTCTCTCTCTCTCTCTCTCTCTCTCTCCCCCCCTTCCCTTCTTCTCTCCTCCTCTACTATCCCTTTCTCGCTCTCTCCTGCGGTTTTATTGCATCTATCTGTACCTAATACGAGCTCGAGCGTCGTTTCTATGGAATTGCATACCGACTACCATCAGCCTGGCTGATGTGCGCGTCGTGATCATCGATCGTCTTCACCACTCGAATAGTTGTATGATGCCATCGTACGAAAGGGGGATCATTACGCGCTCGTGCATATGAATAAATTTGTAGAGTTATATGCCTACACGAACCAAAGATTATCTGTGTGCTATGTTCGCGTCGTCGTTGCATAGGTATTAGCGTCGACCAACACGTGTACGCGTGAATTCCTGCGCAGGTGATGTTCGCCGAACGATTGTGTTCGCTGCAACGGGCAGGAAATTAGCTCTATGAGCGTGCCGCGGAGCGTGATCGCGCGCTCCCTTTGACTGATCAGTGAACTGAAGAGTGCCGCGACTTCGATAGCGCTTCTTAATCCTTCAGTTTCCATTTTGTTAGAAACTTCAAATATGGCCTTCAAATCATTACTATTATGGCCTTTTCATTCTTATCGGAACGTAACGAATATAGGAATGCAACAATTTTATTTCTTTTTATAAAGTTCGAAAATTTTTTGCGCATCAAGATGCCCCAAATTGATCTTTCGGGAACGATAACAACCATTGAAACACAAATGTGATTCTTTAACTTTCTTCAGTTATATTAAACAAAAGTGGTTTGGTCCCAAAATAAAATAAAGATCTTGGTCTGATGTTGTTCAAATTTTTGTCTGAAATATTTTTTTAAATAATGCGTTTCTTCCGAGACATTTTAGGTGGGCAATTAAATCGGGTCGTCCTTTATATAACCCAAATGAAAGAGATAAGCCCCTCTTTGTGCATTTTTAAATACACAAAGGCTATGAGAGGCATTTTTAATTCTTTTGTTTATTCTTTCACATTTCTTCTTTTCTTTCAAAATCTTCCATTTTTTCACGAAAATTCGTCTGGTGCTTTTAGCGGAACCATTAGAGAGCGAAGCAGCACTCGATGGGTTAAGAGATTTATCGTAGACGCGGTAGTAATGTCTACTGAATAGTTTATCGGCGCTTCTCTACAAAATATCGCGGCACAAAATGAGGCGAATCATAGAAATCCCTCGACTGCGAGATAACCTAGAAAGTCTAATCAATATAATTTAATTTCGCTGGTAAAAATTTATATTGATGTATTAAAAATTCACATTGATATATCATCCCAGATGAAATTCGCCAAACCTGCCGTACGAGCGCATGCATGATACAGGATATACCATTACCATTGTAAGTTATACCGCCTCGCAACTGTCACACGATAGATCGACACACGCAGACATAAATTCTACATCGTAGAATTTCTTTTACGACGCGCATTAAAGCGCATGATAAGAATTCGCGGAGGGGAAGATCCCGCGCCCGGTCGCGGGAGGAGACGTAATAATCATTCCGCCAGATGGAGAAATCGGCCTCGTCGTTGCGCCTGAAAGCTCCGATTGCAATCGATTCGTCGAAAATCGCTTGCTTTCTCTGAGGGGTTCTCTCTTTTCTCGCCCTCTCCGCAACTCCCTCCGCCCCCATCCCATCTGGAGACCCCAGACGGTACAAGAATTATACACGTATAGTCGCTTTCTTACCTCGACATCGGAAACGGTCCTCTCCGCCAAATTGCGAACTTTGCAATGAAGGAAGGCGGTGCCGCCCAATTGCACCGTGACGTTCGAGACAGTGTTGTTGTCGTTCGCTTCATTCACTCTCTGCAGCTCGTCGACATTGCTGAACCAGAGGGCCCGCCAGTCTGACGGTATATTGTAGGGCACGCGTCGATCTGTCAAAGAGAAAGAGAGGAGAGAATGACCGACGGGCACAATTAAGTTAATTTAATCAAGTCCATTTGTTTTCCAGGGGTTGGGAAAGCGAGAGGGGAACGGGGGGAGGGAGGGGAGGGGAGGTCCGAGCGGAAGTCATAGACTCGAACGACGCCGCAATTACAGCCTGGGGTGCGGGAGAGCGGAGGAGGCAGGAGAGGCTATCGTCGGTCCGGTTACCAGCCGGGCGAACTTTTTTATCGTGCCAAAGAAAAATAGAAGTTATAAAGGTGGGTACGGCGCGGCCGCGGCGGTGCGCCAAGAGAAAACAAACGCGGAACGAGCCTGAACTCGGCTTGTTTTACCTCGACCCTCGTGAATTAGAAACTACTTTCCGCGTTCGGGCCCCCTTCTGTGGATTATCTTGTTATTAAATTTTTCAAGCAGGCGGCCTCTCCTCCATTTCCGCGCACTCTACTCATCCCCCTCGATGTAAAACGCTCGGGGGATGCACACCGCATCCCCCGAGCGTTACATGCGGTTTGCGCATCATTGTAATGATGTTTTATGGAATTACTTCAGCATCGTGTGTATGTATGCGCGCACACGGGCACGTTCGCGGAGTGTGTATCTCGATGGAATTTACAACGCGCGAAAATAATCTTATTAGCACCGGATACGTTAATTAATACATTATAAACAACGCAGGTGGCGGCTCAAAATTTTTCCTCGAAATTCGCGCTGACTATCGCACTTGACTATTGTGCAGTGAACGAGTATCATTTTCCTTTCTTTCATTTTCCTTTTCCCAGTTTATACTTTCCTCGACAAAATTGCAGTAATGTAATTCTCACGCGATCGTGGTAAGTGGTGGATATTAATTATATTAAAAGCTGCGCCGCGCCATTGCAGAGAGAAAGAGGAAGAGAGAGAGAGAGAGAGAGAGAGAGAGAGAGAGAGAGAGAGAGAGAGAGAGAGAGAGAGAGAGAGAGAGTGAGAAAGAGGGAGAGAGAAAAGCCGAGTATCTCAAAGTTCTGTTGCGACACAGTCGAAAGAACGAAGGAATTTTTTCCTCGACACGTGCGCGTGCGCGCGTTGCGTTAAAATTTTCACGGATACGACCTATTTCCGGACGCGGCGCGGGTGATTTAGGATGTTTGCCCTAGACGGTAGATTACGATTCAAGGAGGCTGTGCTGGTTGCACCCGTCCGGCGAGCTCGAATGTAGCGGGCTGCTTCTCGTCCTGACCTCATTTAAATAATCTACGGATACGTAGCGGACGTACACGCTTTTTACGCTGTCCGTGAAAAAGGGGGAAGGAAGGTACGCACGGCGGCGCGCATTTACGATGCGCTCTCGAAAACGCAACCGCCCGCGTCGCATGTCTCGTAGAACTTTATGTGTCGCTCTCGAAATTACGATGGACGAAGTCTTTCAACGGTCGTGCTATTGTCCGAATTGGAATTTGACGTATCGGGCAAGAGTTTGGGCAAGAGAGAACGAGCATGAAAGGCGGAATGATCACGAAGCCATATTGTCGTCGTGATAAAGTATGCAGGACATCTCACAGCTCGCGATCTTGGCTTTAGCAAAAGCTAAATTTAGAGCTAAATTTGTCCTCAGTCGAGGCATCAATAATTCCCGGAGTACGAGCGACAGAAAGAGCAAGGTTTTTCACGAATTAGATTTCGGATCACCAGACGGATAACAAAATAATTTTTTTTCGATTGTTTCAAGTAGACTTTATTTTAATAGGATTTTTAAGTAATTTGTAGTTTGGTTATAAAGATATGTTATGCTGAAAGTCGTCATATGTAATAACCTCCCTCGGCATTTTCGCATGGAAAAATTATCTCCAAATTGCTGAGAGAAATAGCTCTCCTCAGAATTAAGTTTGGGAACTTTGGGACTTCTGCCTTATACCTAGTTTTTTATTTTGTATGATTTAACGAGTAATCTTCAAATAATCTTTTTATAAGGGAAATATGTATCAGCCATTACTAGTATGTGTTTTCAATGTACAAGTTCACGAACAATGCACATTGTGACGAAATATTAAAAAGTAAGGTTCTCAACTTGTGTAATGTTTTACTGCTTTATATTTATATTCACATACTTATATGTCTTAAAAATATACATTTGTTTACTACTTTCTTTATTGAGGTACTTGTGTAAGCGAGAATCAAAACCATAAATCGAAATCCTGTCGGTAGAAAGTGTGGAGACCTTCATGCACACACAGTTGTTTGAAAAACCCCAATTTGAATGTAGCCTCCTTCTCCCGATAGCATTTTGATTCATGGATTTCTCGCTTAGACTAGTGTTTCAGCAGAGAGAGAGAGGGTGGGGCGACAGAGGGGGAAGGGAATAACTGTGTTGAAAAAATACTGCGCAAATATACGTTTTTAACTTATAAGTATGTCAGTACAAATAAAGTAGTAAAGAATTACATGAGTTGACCTCATTTCCTTACTTCCCTTAACTTACTTTCTGACTTCCTCTCGTATTATGCGTTTGGAAGTTTTACGTTGAAAAGGTCAAAGTATGCCATGTATGTATTTTTCATTCCATTTCTCCCGTTATTCTTATCTCACATACTGATTTATATACTCCATCAATATGGAGATCCATGGATGGAGATCGAAATTGGGTGACTCAATTACATTAGCATGGGTTCTTTAGTTAATTAAAATGTTTGTTTTTCCTCTCCCTTATTCGGCATCGTTCAAATTTATAGACATCAGTTAATAATACATCTTGATGACTGATTGGATCAAATATCGACATTATCGACAATTGCTTTGTATGGATTCCGATATTACGATGGATCATTAATCAAGCGATCAAAATTGCATAATCTGAAAAAGAGTATCTATGTCTACATGTAAACGGAGCAGAATTATGATTACGGATGCAATGAGGTTAAATTTCACTTTGCTTGCACAGCAGGTCTATGTAGAATAAAATATCTAATTATTCAAGCTTCATCATTCAATTAACACTTTGAATCCATTATCCTATTATAGCGGAACGTGGATAATAATCCCGTTAAAAACTGCCTGTCACAAAGTCGCATTATAATGTACTTTGATCTTAGTTCTTATGAAATAATTTGTAAAAAGAAACGAAACTTTCCAAAATGCTATATACTTTAACCAAGGCTACGTTGCAAGTATCATCTTACAATGTATAGATTATATTAATTAATACGTTTAAACATGTTGAGTAGCACGTTTAAACGTATTAAATGACGCGATTTAAGACGACGCGTAAAGCAGGCTTCAGCCAATTGCACGTTCATGCAAAGTAGAAGAAATTACTCGAAATTGCAGTATATACGTGTCACGCTTCAAGAAATTAGGACTCAAAATGTTGAACGCAAGCAGAGGAACAATTCTCTCTATTATCACGCGTGGACGCGCGCTCTCTTTCCATTCTACCGTCTCATCTTCTGCTTTTGCCAGATTCGATATTTGACCGCTTTCGCGGTGCGGAGAAATGCTGGGCTTGGTTTTTCGGCTCGAGCGTTTCTTGCGGCTATTTGTTTCCTCGCTGTTCCGTGAACACGTTTCAGCTCGTTTTGTCAGGGAGAGCAACTTGATATTTTTGTCGGATTATTCATAGCCAGAAATCCGCGAGTGTCGCGTGAACAAAGAGAGAGAGAGAGAGAGAGAGAGAGAGAGAGCAGCGTCGCGAAATCACGAATTCGCTGGATACAATCAATGATTCAGGCGGAACGATTCAGGTGCGCGTCGCGGTGTACGACGTACGGAGGCGTATAACATATTTGTGCGAGCGTCTTTAATTCACGAGGCCGGGGCAGAAATGTCGCGCGCACGCGGAGAAAAGTTCGACTAGCGCGAGATGGCAGGAGCTCCGCGGTCTCTTCTTTCTCGGGACAGTCGCAGTCCTTTCATCGGGGATTCGATTCCGACGCGGGAAAGTTCAGCATTCTAAACGCCTACATCTCGACTACTGCCTCGTACATAGGTTGCCGCCGCGGCAAACTGAGTTTGAAAGCCTGAAAATAGCGAACGCGCACCGCCGTATTTGTCCGCGCTGTTCGCATTCATCGAAGCATCGGAGCGAGACCGAAAAACGGCCACTGTAACGCCCCGAACTCTGGGAAAGTCTTTTAACTGTTCGACAAAAGAAACTCGACCGTGGAACACGATCGGAAAATCTAATCTCCGCGGGGTGAAGAGGCAGCGTTGGGTGAAATTAATTGGGAATCATTGGTACGTCGTGACTTATTGACAGGAAATTTTTCGAAAAATGTAAATTAATGAACGGCCAATAAGAGAGACTGCGCAAGGTTGTGCAATGGGACGACAAGACCAAAATGGGAAAATAAAATAATTCATTTCTGAAAAGGCTTTCAATTACCCGGATTATTGAGAATGTACAGGATGTCGCACGCGAAATACAATAATGATCGTGGACGAAAAGATCGTCCGCAATTTTTTCCGTGAATTTCTTAACGCATTCGACTTGCCCAATGGGAAACGTTTCCCATTAGAAAATAGATGCTCCCATTGGATCAAACGGATGTGTATCGAAACTTACACCGACAACCTTTCTACCTACGACCATACGTGTACCATTTTGCAAACAATCACATAAAGCTTCCAATTGATCGTTTTAATTCTACTTAATCTATAGTTTTGTCGAAAAGACCCTATTTAAGAACCTATAAATGGCAAATTGTAATGTCTCCTACCGTATTTTTCGAGGCGCTGAGTATGATTTTTATATTCAACTGTAAGTCCCCATTGGCTCTCCAGAACCTCTGTATGTTACACAGTTCAAATTGAAAATAGACCAGAATTTCGATCAAGGCGGCGCCCGCCGCCGTGTGCTCGTAGATTAGGTCAAACTGAACAAGAAAGAACGTTACTTCGCTTGCAGCTGATTGGCGAGCGGCGAGAAGATGCTTGAGGCATCGCCTCGCGCGCGATCAGACACTAACCTTCTTTAATTAATAACTCAACATCTTACGTGGTTGTTTACAAAATAGTG